TTCCACAGGCTTTGCCAAGAGAACTTTAATTGTAAAGCCATTGTTTTGTAGTTTAAGGGCTTCATTCAAATGATTGCACACGAGTTAACAAATGCTTTGATTTTTAACAAAAATTAAAATCTTTGTTCCAAGAAAGATTTATTTATCTTCTTGAGATGTCCAAAGAAACCCCTGTGGATTCTGTGTTTATTGTTTATGCCCTACTTTATGTGAAGTAAAGAGATATCTGTGTTTTAAGGAGAGCTTGATAAAGAAGATTAACCTGTAGCTTTGAGAATGGATTTGAGGATGGATTCTGGAGCTCTATGAATTTGAAGCTAAGAGCTAAAATTTGAATTTGTAAGTGCTGATGGGCTGCTTGGGACTTTTGGCAAATGTGTAATAAGATGAGACGGGATTTTAGAAGATTATCAGACATGATGGAATGACAGCAGACATAGGAGAGACTGGATATAACCAAAGGTGACAGATTTGGTGGTACTGGGGCAGGGGCCAACAGCCTGCCATGTTTAGGGCAGGGGGCAGGATTGTAGTAATGAAAACTAAAGAACTGGAAATCAAGTCAGGGGTAGGTCTTAGTAAGAAGAGGGTATGAGATGGAGGAAGCAGTAAACTGTGTCTCTGTATCTTAAAAATTAAATTACAATATTAAAAATAAGATCAGTATTTGTGGAAAAGGTAAAATATATATATATATAATGCTTGAAAATGGACTCTTCTCCCTCTTTCCTACTATTTCTTCAATAATCACACAAGTTCATACCCACAGAGACTGTCTTCATAGTTACTGCTCTGCAGAGTTGATTTAGACATTAACTATATACAATCTTTGTAAATAAAAGAACATTATTTAAGCACCAGCAGAAATTAGGAAATGGGTGTAGTAAACAATGATATATTCAACAAAAATTATAATCATGTTTCATTATATTAAGGAAAAATAGGATATAATAATTGGTTTAAAAGTATGCTATCAATAATGCATTGAGTCTCAGTTCTGAGTAGGAAAATGCATTAAGAAGTCTGGCAGAGAGAAAAATGACAATAATAACAGCTATATCCCAGAGACATTTTATGGGGGTGAGTGGGGAATGGGATCAAAAACAGTGGGGGAGGGAAATGCACTGGACTATGGTGATGGCACATGGGTGATTTGGTGATCACAACTGAGATGGAAAAATACACAAAAATTATGTAAAAATAAGCTATTATATTATTTATTTACTTATTTATTTAAAAAAGAAGTCTGGCAGAAAATGGTAAAGATTTGGCATTATAGTAATTTTAATTTTCTTTCTACTCTTACATACTTCAAAACCATTGGCCATAGGAATTTGAATTTTAAATAGGAAAAAAAAAGAAAAACGTCTTCACATTAAAGTATTTACTTGGATTGTTAAAAATACAAATAGAGATGATCTTGTGCTCACTTTAGATGCACAATCATGGGTAAACTTGATATTTCCTGCTTCTTGTGTTCCTAGTTTGTTCACTCTGACTTCCCTATGTTTACTATACTCATTTTTATACCTGGCAGTGAAAACACAAATGGCCAGGACCTGGAGACAGAGCATTCCACGGTGCATTTTCATCCGGAAGTAACAGACTCAAGTTCCTCCGTCCTGCCAGTATCGCAGGCATTATCCCATGAACTGCCTTTCACTCACCAGCAGTCTGGCTCTCAGATTAGTAGAGTGTCATCATGTGGACAGAAAGTCCCTAAATGTGTTTCCCAATCAGACCACAGCCTAGGTAAGCAAAATATGTGACTACTATGCATTTGAATAAGTAGCATTAACTGCCCTTCCTCTGAATGTTTTTTGTATTTTGTCCTTTTGCAACACTTACTACTTACCTAAGGAAAAGACATGTAAGAGAAAGAGGAAAACTGTAGTCAATAAGATGGTGAAGAGAAAAGGGGGTAGAGGTGGCAATAGAGAATTTGGAGGAGAGGAAACAAAACAGGACTATCAGGAAGCAGGCAAATTTGTGCACAGCCACCAGAAGTGTACACAGCATACCCACAAATAGGAAATTTGCTCTCACATGTTCAGGGAATTTTAAAGGGTATGATATGGCTTACTGAAAACATGAGCGTCCTTAGAAATGAAGGATCTAAATCCAAGCTATTTTTCTACTTCCCACCACGGGAGACATTAGGTAAAGTATCTAGTATCTCCAAGTCCTGTTTCTGCAACTGCAAAATGGTGTTTAAAATAGCAACTTCCCAACTAAAAACTCAGTGAGGTATCTCTGAAGATCACCTAGCACATAGTAAATACTCAGTAAAAATCAGTTGTGGGCCCTCCCTGGTGGCGCAGCGGGTTAAAGCACAGCACTGAGAAGCTAAAACCACTTCCGCATGAGTTCAATTCCCGCCTGCCCCGGAGGTGACCACATGGTGCGGCAGACCTCTCCTGACCCGCCCGCTGCTCCCCTCAGCAGTGTACTTCATTGATCTGCCTGTTCTGTTCTCTGCCTGTTTTGTTCACCACTCTGTCTCTGGTGAAGCCTCTCGCCGCCCCTGAGCCTCTGGCCTGTACCCCAGTTCTGTATGCACAAATAAATAAATCTTAAAAAAAAAAAAGTTAAATTATCAAAAAAAAAAATCAGTTGTGAATCTGGACATATCTGTAAGTGCCTGCTTATAGATAAGCTGGATTTGAAGGTCTGTATTACCAGTTACCAGTCACTAGCAATATTTATTTCAAAATTGATACTGGATCTTCCACTACCCTCTACATGGTATGGATATTTATAGCTGATTGCTTTTTATCTATATTATATTTATTCGGTATTTTCCTAAGCTTTTGACAGTGTCATGTAGGATTTTGAGCCACTGCTATGTTTGTCATATCCCGGTGTTTCATTATGTATCTAAGATAAAAAGTCCAAAGCAACCTACGTTCACACTGACCTTCTGCAATGATGAAAATCCATATGCTTAAAAATGCAAACACAAGTTTTAGATCTAAGGAAGGAGGGTTTCCAACCTTTTGCATTTTTATAATCATGATTCATGGTCTTATATTTTCATTAAACTGCAAAAATCCCTTAAAGACAAAATAAAATGCAGCAGCTTTCCGTCCAGGATGAGCACTGAGCTGGGAGGCACTATCCTCCTTCAGTTACTGCAGATTCCATTTCTGTGCATCAATTTCTGGTCCACCAGGAGTTGTTGCTTCAGATTCATTCCTACCTATTGCTCTGGACCAAGATTAGTGTGTTTCTTTTTCTGTCAGAATGCAAAGGTTTCATCCCACCGAATGAGCTGTTCAAAAGGATGCTCTATATTCTCCTCCTTCAAAAGAATTTAAGGGTTAAGTAAATACTCTACTGAGAATAAACTAGCTTAATTCCATACATTTCTTCAAAACAAAATACTTTGAGGGACTCTCTTCAGGAACTGTGTGTTTCTTCCTTTCCACCTTTTGCCCTGATTTGGATTTGTTAAAGATACTGAATCTAAGGCAAACTCTAGGTTGTCTTAATTATTTGATGATTTCAGACCTAGCATCACATTATATTCACTGTTCAGTGAGTGCTAAATGCACCTCTGTGGTAGATATTGTTCAGTCCTCACATTGCCTCACAATATAGTAAAGTTACCATTACTTTATGTTTCAGAAATGAAATAGTGAAAAGTTTAAATCACTGTAAATGTTTTAAGTGACAGTTCTGTCTAATACATGGTTGCCCTCACCTTCATCAGCTCATGTCATCTCTCTCTAGTATAACTCTCTCCTTGCGCACACATCATGAGGTTTATACAGCATAGTTCTTTCTGTGCAAAATTATGAAACCCAGCTTGTATTTGAATCTTAATAGTGAGAATTTTTTAATTCAAATTAACTTTTTTTTTAGATTTATGTATTTATTCACACAGAACCAAGGGTACAGGCTAGAGGCACCAGAGTACAGGGGACAGGTGAGAGTATTCACCAGAGACAGAGTGGCAAGCAGAACAGGCAGACTGGTGAAGTACACTGCTGAAGGGAGCAGCAGGTGAGGCAGGAGAGGTCTGCCTGGCCATGTGGGTCACCTCCGGGCCTGGGGATCAAACTCACACTGAAGCAGCTGCAGCTAGCTTGCAGTACCGCTCTTTAATCTGGTGCACCACCAGGGAGGGCCAGTAGTGAGAATTTTTAAAAGAACAGATTGCTAACAGGATATTAGAATCTGATGAAGCATTTTAGTTGATTACAGTAAATTTAAGTCTTTATGTGGAAAAAAAATACTAAGTATTGATAGGAAAGGGCTCATTTGAGGCTTTCATTTATGTGTGTCAATTTGGGGATAATAGTTAATATGAAATACATAAAGTTGTATTCATATATAGCATCAATTTGGGAGAATCAAATGTTTTATCTACTCAAAAACTGATAATGCTTCTAGTACAACTAAATAATCTTTTAGATACTCATTTGCTGATATAATTGACAGGTTAAGATAACTCTGATCATATATAGGAATTGTCAGTTAAAAACTGCAAATTATTCTATAGACTTTTTTTTCAAGTTTTGAACTATCATTGTTGAGTTTACAGTAACAGTAAAATGTATATAATTTTTCAGAAGGGAAAAATAAACATAGTGGCCTTGAGTACTTTTTTTTTTTTTTTAAAGATTTATTTATTTGTGCATACAGAACTCGGGTACAGGCCAGAGGCTCAGGGGCGATGAGAGACAGAGCGGGGAACAGAACAGGCAGATCAACGAAGTACACTGCTGAGGGGAGCAGCGGGCGGGTCAGGAGAGGTCTGCCGCGCCATGTGGTCACCTCCAGGGCAGGCGGGAATTGAACTCATGCAGAAGCGGCTTCAGATTCTCAGTGCTGTGCTTTAACCCGCTGCGCCACCAGGAAGGGCCGGCCTTGAGTACTTTTAATGTTCTTGTATTTACTTCCCTCTCACTTGCCTTTTCTCTTTAGTTTTATCGAACAGAGCCAGCACCTTCGAAATTTCAAAGAAACACATGTTGTCCTTAGATGATCTAGAGTCCACCATGATTGGGGAAGGGGAGGATTATTTCTTGTCTTTGTTTGGTGATTCAAGGAGAGTATCAGCACACCCGTTCCGAAAGGAGAAATCCTGGAGGCACTTTTCTGTGATTCTTGAAGAAGTGGACCAGTCTCGATCCAGGTAGATATTTACTTTCAACTATTTCATATGATCTGTTGGGGCCAAGCCAATAAATCAGTAAGAAGCAAATGTCTAATCTGTTGTTAGATCCATGATTTACTCTAATACCCTGAGAAATTTATTGAAAATAACTGTTTCAAGTTCTGAGCAATTAAAACTAATCAGTACAACTTTCTAAAGAACCAAAGAATGCTAATTCTTCAAAGATACTAGAGAAAGCAGCACTACATAATCCCTGCAAATAAAGTCCACTCAATTAGACATGTACCTTTTTACTTATTGGCAAATCATTTAGATGGAGTTGTACTTTTTTCCTTTTACTAGTTCCTTGAGCACGAAACAAAAGGACGCAGTTATACTTTAACTCATTGATCCATTTGGGTGGTTGTTAGTGCCTGAGACAGAAAGAATTGATGAAAAAGACTGATATTAGAACTAAAAGAGCTGAGTAATCCATACATTTATTTAACCCTTCTCTTGTTGAACAGATTGATTTTATTATTTAATATTATTTATTATATCATTTAATTAATTATATTTATCATTTATTGTTTCCTTCCTTCTGCTAAGTTTGGGTGTAGTTCTTTTTTCTTGTTCCTTGAGTTGTAAAGTTAGGGTTGTTAGTTGATATCTTTCTTTTATTTTACTGTAGGTATTTAACACTATAAAATTTCCTCTTGGTATTGCTTTCTATGTATCCAACAAGTTTTGTTAGGCTGTATTTTGCTTTCATTTTCCTCAAGGTATTTTTTAATTCCCTTTGGATGACTTCTTTTGCTCAATAGATACACACTTTGGTCAAGTTTAGTTTCTATAAACTTGTGAATTTTCTTGTTTTTGATTATTGACTTCTAGTTTCATTCAACAATGTCTGAGGAGATACTTGTTATGGTTTCAGTCTTCTTCAATTTGTTGGCTTGCTTTCTGAC